GGGTCAGAGCACAGCTCTGATGCCTGCATTTAGCAGCGGTTCACACTCAGAGCCATGGGGTGAGCCATTACAGCAAGAAATGCTGTGAGTCAGACAAGAAAGATCTTGTATGTTGCTTGTAGGGAGCCACGTCTTGTCTTTGCATAATCATGTTGAGGAATATATCATCTAATCATCTTTGAGGCTATAGTCTAAGACTAGGCTAAGAAAATGAATCCTTTGGAAAAGCTGCATTTCCCTTATCCTCTTGGTGGTTAGAAATAACTCCCAGTGAGAGTGCATGAAGAAAGTGCTACTTTCTTCTTCACAGTGCGAAGTGAAACTATCTGCCAGTGCCCATGGAAGTGTTCTGCCATTGGGCTGAGAGGAGTGTGATGACCGACTACACACAGCAGAGATACATCAGCCACTGGTCCTGTAGCGCCCTGAGGTTGTAGCCATGCATTAAAAAGCTCTGTGTTCCTGCTGCTCCCCTGGGTGCTTTGGGAGCTGTCCTGAAGGACCAATGTAGCACTTGCAGCACTTCTGTAGCTTAACAGCCAGGTGAGATAACTGTAAAGCAGCAGTTTAGACATCACCTCTGAGTTTTTTCCCCAGTTTTGCCCTGTTTTCCTTTCAATAACCATATGCAAGCGTTATCTGTATATGTGGGTAAAGTAGTTGTGGTACAAAGTGGAAGTGGGGGAGGCACAGTTGGCCCACACTTGGGTCACAAGATTAGGAACACGTGCTCAGGCAGATACACAGCAAAGTACTGCTGTCATGGGAAGCAGAGGTGGGTGCTTGCTACCCTTCCACCTGCTAAGTAAATCCACACCTCAAAGTGTGGGACACCCTCCTGTTACACTGTGGTGTAACAGGAAGGGTGTTTAACCAATGTCATCTGCTGTTCATCGTAACCAGTGCAGTGGGAATGGCTGGCAGATATGCTTCTTCTTTTTCCATATTACTTTTGGGGGGGCTGCATGTTCATGTCCAAGCTTCCTTACTTTATGGCATTAACAGCTTGTAAAATGGTTTTAAGGGCAGCCTCAGAAGACCTTCAGCATTTGCTGCTGTGTGCAAATCAATATAACCAACTCCTTCTTTAAAATTTTTCCTTTTTTTTTTTTGTTGTGAGGTTTAGCAGCACATAGAGGGAACAAGGAAAAGATGCAGATTTCTACAGAAATGACCAGGTTTGTAAATACAGAGCAACAACATGAAAGAGCCATTTCACACAGCTAAAAGTAGATGGAAGAGCACCCAAGAAGAAGAGGCATTTACTCCCCTTCTGTTGCTCGTGATGTTGTGTGGTGGAGTTTCTGACCCGCCCTTGTTGCTGCCCTTCCAGGAATCTCCCACAGTTCTTGTTTGTTTGATTTTCCTGCTGCTAAACAAATAGCTCCACTTTACTGGCTTTCCAAAAAGAGCCTGTATGACAAAATGTTCCTCAGAATCTGCCCAGTAGGGAAATGGGAGAGATATCATCTTCTCCAGGCTCTTTAGCCTACAAACATACAGAGAACAGAAGGAAGAACATGAAGAGTATGTCCCATGCTCTAGCACTGCTGGGATGCTGCCATGACTGCTCCGGGTGTGGAATGAGTCAAAAACAGCCTGGCTCTGTTTTAGGACCATTGCAAGTTAAGCTTTCTGTGAAAAACATAAACTGTGTGCTCAGACTGATCTGGAGAGCACATCTGAACCACAGAGGTCAGAAAAAGCAAACCCAATTAGGACAGAAGCAGGCAAGTGGCAGGAAAAGGCTGAATTGAGGTTTAGGATGGAGGAGAGGACTGTGAGGTGGATGTGGAAGGGACATGTCTTGATGAAGGGAAGACCTTGATTTTGGTGCGAAGGACTTGGGATTTGTTCTGAAAGAAGGTGCAAAAGGACATAGCGAAACGTGACAGGTGGCCCTGGGGGTGGGAGCTGAAGGCATTTGCTAAAAGGGGAAGCAGGGTACTTTACCTTTATGACATGTACTCTGTTCAAGAGCCCCCATGGTAACATAGAAAGAAGATGAGCTCACAGAGCAAAACGGCATCCCATGTAGAGTGGGATGGTCTCCACTGACCAGTGACAAAGGAGACTCTGCTATCATTAGGGCAGCATCAGTCCTAAGGAAGGACTCAGCACCAAATGGCGCTAAAGAGTAGCCACCTGTCCTTGAGAAGCTCACAGAACTGGTTCTCCTTCAAAGTCACGAGCAAAGCTACTTCTGTAGTAGCACCACCATGTCTGGTACACAGTGTCTGCACAGCCTGGGGTGTGAGTAAGCACAGAGAGAGGCCAGCCAACCCTTTGCAATGTAACTACAGCAGCTGGAATGAATCTTGCAAGCAATGGTACTGCTTCCTGCTGCAATGAGGAACAGTGCAAGTAGAAGTTAAAATGATAAATATGCTTCTTAAAATGTCATGTCTCTGAGGGGCAACAGACACCTCGATGACGTTCAGCACTGGGAGAGGCTGCCCGAGCTCACAGCCTGAATTATCCAGTGGCAGGTGGCGTTAAAGAAGCTGCTTCATGCCAGGCTGCTTCTGTGTTATTTGCTGTGTTTGAAGCTCTCTGGAGACACTTAAAATACAAATGTCTTGAGACTTCTATATTCCCAACCATTAAATAACTTAAAATGATCACCATCTCTAGAAATCGCCTTCTAGCTTATGCAAAAATGGCAAATATTTAAACTGAAAACAAAGTCTGAATTTCACAACAGTGTTTAAAAAGCTGTAGGATTCCCAATAGTCCCTCTGCCACGTGTGCATTGGAGAGGTGAGGAGCTCAGCAGTAGGCAGCGTGACATGTATGCACATCATGCAGACTGTCCCGTCCTAAGAAGATGCAGAGCAGTTTGTCAGGTTTTATATTTTTAGCAGGTTTAGAAAAACCTGCTCAAGTTATTTTTGAAGCCTGTGGTATGTTTGCTCACACAAGTGTCCCTGCAAACTGTCAGTATTAAGTCACCTTAAACCCAACCAATTCCCTGGTGACTAGGCAGAAAAGCATCTCTCGGTTTCTACTGGACTGAGAAACACAAATATGAGGTAACTGCTCCAGAGACACCCCTGATGGGTAACATCACCAGTATTTGACCATTTCTTTTTTTCTAGAAGTGCTGTCACAGGGAGTTAGCTGGGCTGCAGGAAGCAAGTGAGGTTACATTTTATCCATTTGCATAATTCACTCAGAAACCCAGAGAGGACAAACATTGTCCTCAGGGCCTTTTGTTTGTTTGCAAGGCAATCTGACAACTTCTTGGCCTGTAAACTTTTCAGAGCAGGAATGCATCTTTTTGTGTCTAGAGGAAACCGACTGCGGGCAGAGATCTTCCCCAAGATCTTTGAAATGTTTTGAACTGGGTTGCCTGTTAACGAAGCAGCCACTAGCTCTTCAACCCTTCTGCCCCTGCCTCCACTGTCTACTGGCTCTGAAAAGATGGGCGGAAGGAGAGAACAATCCTCCAGAAAACTTAATGGGGAAGGGAAGGGCCACCATGGGTGGGAGTGTCGGTCAGCCCTGCTGATGTGCTTGCCAGGGAGAAGATGAAGGCTGTGGCCTTCTGAGATGGATCTGCCATAGGAGAGCTGTGCCTGACCTTTGACCCTGGGATGAGAGCTTTCTCCTTCATCCCTGGAATAAAGAACAAGTCATAAATATACTGCCAGGCCTGGGAACAAGAGGGCACCAGGAAGCAGGGAAATCGGTCTGAGTTATGCTTTGTTTTGTGGAACACAAGCAATAGTCTTTACCACACAAGCCAAGAAGTTGTGCAAGCCCGACAATAACCCAGCTCTAATTCCTCTTCTGTTCCTGGCTGCAAAGCCCCAGCAGCACTGGGGTTTGGTGTCAGGCAGCAGAGGGACATGCTCTGGAGCATACAGCCTGGGTGTCCCTCTCCAGGCTGAGCCAGGAGGGAGCAGCTGCCGGTCAAGCCCATGCACATGGCCAGGCACTTCCTCTCCTAGACCGGGAAGAAGGTGCAGTTCAGTGCTCAGACATCGCCCCTGAGCTGCTGACTTTCCACAGAAACCCTTGACAAGGTATGTCAGGCAAATGCGAGGGATGAAGTGTAAAACCAGCTCTTATGCAGCCTGAAATCTCAGGTGTCAAGCACAGGCAGCTCCCAGAGAGAATGTTTAACTCTTATGACAAGCCTTAACCAAAAATCCTGACAGTTAATTTTGAAGTAATAAAAGGGACAGCTTTTTTTCCTTCCATTTCTGAAATGAAGGAGCTGTCATTTGGGGAGACTTGGATACACAAGGCTGGGAGGAAGCAGCTGGTGGCTGTCAGAGCCCAGTGCAGTCTCTGCACACTGGTTTAGCCAGACTCCAAGATGCAGCTTCAGATAAATGTCATCTGCTCCCCACGTCTTAACATGCCTGAGTACTGCAGACGCTAATTCCTGCCCCGCCTCAATTTCACTGGTAACTTCAAAATACAAATTAATCCAAGAGAATAATTTTTATGATGACCCAAACACAAATGCAAAACCAGAGGGATTTCCATTTCAGGATTTCCACAAGTTACAGCACAACAATATGATATTGCACACCAAACTCATTCTTCTCCAAAGATGCTGCATCTGTGCATTCCCTCAGTTTACAGCCAAGGTTGAAGGCAACCACCCAAAGGAGACAAGCAAGACCAAATTCCTCCTGATCTTAGGAGATATTATAGAAGATATCCAACAGGACCTTCAAGTGACTAGGTAATTAAGCTGTTCATAACTGTTAACCTCCACCCAAAAGTAAAGGTCAAAATATCAAAGCTTACTCCAATCCTGGCTTTTGACTGAGGAAAATTTTCTTTTTTTTTTTTTTTGAGTGACATCTCCATCAATAGATGTCTTTTTTATGCAGGGGAATTGAGGTGATTTGTTCTCAAGCTGCAGGTGTTTTTGTAGCCTACAAGTGCAAATATTAACTTCATCTTAACCTGACTTTGTAACTGAAGTTGAACAAGACATTTGATGTACTGCACTATTTCCGTAACAGAATACCATGTGTGCATCTGTTTGAAAGGTTTATTTCTATCTTCATAAATACAGAATTTTCTAAACACTGTGCAAGGCACCAAAAATTAAGTAAAATCTTTTATTTTAGATTATTTTAATCTCTTTTGACTTGATGAAGTAAATAAGAATCTGAAACCATCTATTTGCCAATTACAAGCCAGCAATTAAGGCAGGTACCATTGATACAGTGCATGAATTTTCTATTGCAGTTATTTAAACAAGCAGCGTTTTACTATAGAAGTGCATATACAAACTGAATTTCAAACACCAGCAACCCAAGATAGGCACCTAGTTATGAAATTTCCTTGTATGTGTAGTAGAATGCCAAAAGTTCTGCCATAAAGTGCAAAGACTATGGACAATAACACTTTCTTTTGAGCATTTTGATACCAGTAACATAATACAACGGCTAAACATTTATAAATGTGGTTTTCATTACAAAAACATGTTCCACATAAAAGCTTCATAATACGATCCAGAAACAGAAGTTGTGCGTGTACAGATTTAAAAAGTTGAAGCTGTACTGGCATACTTAGGTACCGGGTATATATTTGCTGACCTCTGCAGACACGCACCAAGTTTATAACCAATTTACACATACAGTCAAAATCATTCTGCTTTGAGCACCGTGATATCCACTGAGTTTTTCCATTCGAGTGACGATGTGCGACATCTGCCCTGGTAATCTGCAACTGCGCACTGCCTGTAAAATGATCTGGTTCACAGCTCTCACCCAGCCCTCCCTAATAAACGGAACCTAAAATTAGTGTCTTCCCAACACAAGCACATGTCAGATGTGGACAATACATTCATGGTCCCAAACTTAAAACAACTGGTAAGAATTTCACAGTGATCTGGTTACGGAAGCACAAAGACAAATGATTACGTTTAAGATGAAAATTACCTTAAAACTCAAATGAAGCTAAACTTTTATATGATGAGAAGCTAAAGGAACAAAGTATTAACCAATTAGAAAAGTGGCTCTTTCCCAACTAATAACAAAAACCCTACAGCGATAAATTTAGGGTCCTACTGCTGCAGCAGCCTTTGAGGTAGGTGGTGATGGCTTAAATCGAGGTAGGTAAAGTCCAAACTTGTTTTCAATCCCTGCAAAAGTGGCAACTGCCAATTTATAACCGCCAACATGGTCAGGGTTAGGAGCAGGGAGCGTGATCCTAGATTTAGGAACTGTATCTGATCCAGCTGGTTTTCTGCAAAATAATAAAAATAATAGATTAATTTCCATAGAGTAAAATCAGTATTCACAAAAATCTCCTCCATAAAGTAAGTTTAATAAGACATCTGAGTGTACTTCCCCATAAGTAACTAAATTAAATGATGCAATGTAAGGAGACATACCCTGTTTTAAAACCTTCCAGAACAGTTAGGAGCCTTCATGATGATGATGGCCAAATCCAGATAAAATTTGCAGTGCATTAATAGAGATTGCAGTGTGGAGCAGCAGGGGTTCATAAGTCTTTGCTTCAGTGCACAACCAATCCAGGAACCTAGCAGTATTTAAGTAATTTTTGTTGTGGTTTTCAAACTGCTGTCCCCAAAGATCCATAAACAGTCTGCAGCTGCTCCTGGGATCAAGTTAAACAGCAATATGCACATCCACCTGTATTGTTAACAAAGGCAGGAGGCAGACCTGAAGCCCCAACAACAGGTTTTGAACTTGGTGACAACTATAGACTTTTTTGGATGTCAAATGCCCTGTCTAATCAGGTACAGCTGATCAGGTACAGGGGTACAGCTCCTCCACCAAACAATGAGGATTAATGCAGAGCGTATCCTGACTTGGCAGGTATCACATTTCCCCTGCAGCTATATCCTCAGCCCATTATTTGGCCTCTCACTGTCTCTGTTTACACTAACATAGGTCCTCAGCTTGAAATGGTGATAAAAAATGTGGTAATACCTTGCTATGAAGCAGGTACTGGAATATCATCCCAACCTCCACCAGTGTAGTGTGGTTTAAGTAATATCTACAAAGCCTTTGCAACATGTCCTAGCAAGACCCTGACATGTTGAGGAGCACCAAGACCCAAACAGAACCAAGTGTAGCTTCAGGGTCCCTGGTAGATTCAGGCAATATATACTTACACTCCTCCAAAGTCCACGTACAACCATCTCTGCAGTAGCTCGTAAGTCACCAGAGTTACACCAAACTGAGGAGAAGATCGAAATACACGAGCTTGAAAGAAAAGAAAAGAGCTCCTAAGTGACAAAAGTCACAAATAGAAATCACTTGGCAATCCAAGCTCTTTTACACACCTCCTGCTCCTTTCCACAGAGCCTTTGGACCTTCCTCTCGCAGGATCTTGGCAAAGCAGTCTACGACGCCGCTGTAGGTGGTCTGTCCTGCCCGGGCTGCCACCTGTAGCCTTGTTTTGATCACATCTGCAGGGGTGACCAAAGAGGCTGCAGGCATACCTGCACAACACAAAAATCATCAGGTGGATACCTCTGGCTTGTCACACATGATACACACCTCAATTACCCAGGGGTAAGTGGGCCTTTCCTCCTTACACCAGGAGAATCCAGTCACATTTGATTTAAGCAGAAGCTGGGAAGTGAAAAGAGGTGGTTGTTGTGGACATGGCTTCACCCAGAGAGAGCTTCTCCCTGAGAAACAACAATATCACATGCTTCCTGCCAAGCTGGGAGGCATGGACTGGAGTTTTCAGTGCTAAACAGAAACTGGCACAGTTAGTAAGAACAAAGTTTTTGGAGGTAAGGTTTACCCTTTCCTTTTCATGCCTCTTTATGGTACCTGGCATCCTGGTTGTACACAGTGCTAGAACAGCCTGTACACAGATACACACACACACATACTCACACACACACAAACACCCCTCATGCAGCAACGTCACCTCGAACCAGATAATGCCATGCATGCTCAGCAAGGCATGGGAGCTAAGGCTTACAAAAAGGGTCATTCTTCTCATCAGGAATGGCAGACAGCTCAGCTGCAAAGCCACAGCTGACATCCTCATCAGAATATTTGGAGAAAGATTTAAATTTACCCTGGCAGATAATCAACTGAAAGCAAAAAGTACCAAATTATCAATGGGTGGTATTTCTAAAATCATTCCTATCCAAACTGGGGCTGCCCATGTTTGGAATTGAAAAAAAAAAACCAAAACCAAAGAAAAGCACCGAGACTGTACCCAGAAGACACTGTCTCTTATGGTTTTATTACTTTTCCATTCTGCATCTGTTCCAAACCAACTTGGCTAGATGTATAAATCTCCTTTCCTTATTTTTTTTTTTTCAGGCTTAATAATTCTGTAACAACTTTTATCCAAACCAGCATGGTTTGGCTTCAAATTCCAGAGCACCCTTCCTGCAGAACTGCTCCAAGAGATCTAAATGTGTGCATATCACCAAAAGAAGAGCTCCTCCTCCTCTCCTGGACCCCCCAAAATAATGCATAGGCTGAACTTGCACAGTGGGCTGTCTGGCAGGCAAGTGCTAAAACCTGGTCAGGGTTTCTGAACTCCAGAAACACTGAAATTCCTCTTTGCTTAGCCTTACCAACATCAGGATATTGCTTGAGTCTTCAATTTAAAGACGGACTTTTGTCTTTCAAAAGCCAGCCAGTGTTTTCAAGGAAAACTGAAGGTCATACTTAGAAACAATTCTGCTTACTACACATTGACTTCCATCTTCTTATTCCACACTCTATATTACTGAGGATATTTTGCAGTTAAAGATGTTTTAAATCCTTTTTAGGAGCTACGTGTACAGGACAAAAGACTTTATAGACAAACTGAATTTACAGATTGTTGCCACGAGGAACTTACAATCAGAATGTGACAAATAGCACAGGAGGAGCTGACAAGAAAAAAGAGGAGTGAAGGGAGGAGAAGAAGTTCATGGAGGCAATAAGCAGATGGAGCAAATTAAGGAGAGATCCTGTAGATGATATTAAAATCATTAGAAAATGCCATGGCACAACAGGTTGAAATGTCTGGTGAACAGCGAAAACCAGAAGCAGATCAAGCTAGAAGACATGAATGTTGCCTGTGACCCCACAACAATGAAAAGGAAGACAATGTAAGCAGTACAAGCAACACCCACTGGCAAAGGACACAGGTGCACATATGACCATGGCCAGCTTGAATAATCCAGCACCACGGGCTGTGGAAATGGGGAGTTTCAAATCTGGAGCCAGAGCTCATGCACACATCTGAAGTCCAATGACCAGGTGAGATCCCTGGCCACAGCAGAGACATCAGCCCAGAGACCAAAGCCAGAGTTTCAGAGGTGGTGGGGTTTTAGTTTTGTCTTCCCCTTGACTTTCTCGTGGCAAAACAGTGGACACGTGCACCCCTGTAAGGCTTTACTTGTACCCAGTAAAATAAATTTCTTGTTTTTGTAAACAGTACGATGAACGTTGTATCTCTAACACTATAATTTGCTCATGAGATTTAACCTAGGATGGGATTCACAGGAAGCACTGGATAAAATTCACATTATAGCTAGATTGGTGAGCCATATCGGCAACAATAAAGACTGCTTCTGTGCCTGAACTTCAAAGGGACGGTTATCTCAGTCTGCAATCACCTGACAATGGCTAGAATGAGAAAAATAGGAAAATCTAAGAAATGACTAGGCTTAAAAACGCCAGCTTATGTTTCAAGTCTGTAAATATGATCTAAAGTTCAAAAATTGTTTTGTTCCATTAAAATGGGTGAGAAATAAGCTGGCTGTAAAAACTCGTGTTGCAGGGCTTGGAGCCTGGCCTAGGAATGGGGTGGGGGAGGGGAGAGGACACGGGGGTTTAAGCAGCAGTCATTGGAACACAGCTGGTTTTGCTAGTGTCAGGTTGTTCCTCTGGACTGTGAGCTACTGAATAGAGAGCTACATGCTTCAACAAGACAAATCAACTGATCTTAGCTATCATCTAAGACCAGATATTGGCTACAAAAGGACCCTCCTCCTCAAGGGACATGGCCCTGCATATAATCTTGACAAGAAGAGTTTTCTCAGGGAGAAGAAAGCTCAAAATCAAATGAGAAAACATTGCTAAACCACCTTTCTGTACTGCATTCATGGCACTCCATCATTTTTCTCATGTGGCCGGTTGCAGTAGCCTGCCAGGGGCCACACTGGAGGAAGAACTTGGCTGCAGCTCAGACAGACCAACCAGCCTCCAATGAACATGGTGGAAATACCTCCTGATGTGAGCCCTCCTGCTTGCTACACACCCACCCAGAGGTCCTGTTGCACAGGTCTGCAAGACCATTTGTTTCCTGGGGAAAAACCATGGACACAGCAGGAGGATGTCTCTCAAGCTGCCCTCTCCAGGGGGCAGCTACCAAATGGTGGTCCCCCTTGGATGTAGAAGTTGGGTGCTGTGGTGGAACCAGCTTTGCAGCAGATGCAAAGGCAAGATGAGGCTTACAAAGTGTGTCTCTGTCTTTTCCCTTAGGCTCTGGCATGCTCAAGTTAAATGCATCTGTGAGAATTTAAGCATGATTTGGCTTTTCTGTCTGTTATGCAGCAGACTAAAACAAACAAGTGCTCAAGATCACACTCAGCACCTCTGTCATATCTGGTATACTAGGAATTAGCAACCTGAACACCAGAAATGTTTTCAAGCTTTTCTGTTTTGTTTCTCTTTTGATATAAAAAAAATGATAAACGTAAAATCCTCAAGAGCCAAGTAACTTCATGGGACACTGAGGGTAGCAAGCACTGTCATCACTTTGTCACCTGTTAGTCATTGTGTTTGGAGAGTTGTATTGCTAGTGTGGCTTCTGGACTCTATATACCAAAATTCAAGATTCATTTTATCATAAAGAATTTCATGAATGCCATGATTTCCTTTATAAATCATTTCAACAAAACATTACCAGTCAGTCAGACACAGCCAAAACCAGCACAGTAACTTCACAAGGAATGATGATATATGGTAACAAAATAGCAGCACTTTATTTTCCCTTTCTTTCACTTCCTGAACATTATGACTAAAGTAGGAACTTGTAGTATCATTAACATCAACTCACTCTACAGCACGGTAACTTTGTTGTTTCTGCGTAAGGCTGCAAATACAGTACTGTTGTATATAGTCCTTTAGAGCATCTTTTGTTGTTGTTCTCACTGCCATAACTATTGTGCTGCCTGTGCAATACAGTGCCAAGCAAAACGAAATCTGGGCACTTACCAGCTATTGATCCAGCCAAGAGCAGATTTCCAGGGCTAACCCTCCCATCTTCACTTGCAAATGAAGCTGTCAAATGAGCATAACAAGGGAAGTAAATGGCAGAGAAGGGGATATCACTGTATATAGCCCTTTAGAGCATCTTTTGTTGTTGTTCTCACTGCCATAACTATTGTGCTGCCTGTGCAATACAGTGCCATGCAAAACGAAATCTGGGCACTTACCAGCTATTGATCCAGCCAAGAGCAGATTTCCAGGGCTAACTCTCCCATCTTCACTTGCAAATGAAGCTTTCAAATGAGCATAACAAGGGAAGTAAATGGCAGAGAAGGGGATATCACGCAAAAAACATGCCTTAGCACCCTGTGTTGAAAAACAGAAGTTTTGAAAATGAGCAAATTTAACACCATGAACTAGGAGCATCAGAGAACAGAGCAGTATCGGGGTTTTTTGGTTTGTTGTTGTTTCTTGTTTTTATGGGGGTTTTTTGCTGCAAAGGGCTTATAGAAAGAGCAATTTCTCCTCTCAAAATTTTGAGAGATCCATGTATTTCACCCCACAGAGGAGTGTCTGTGTGCTGTTTCTTGGTTCAGTAATTTCTGTCACTATATGTATCTTGTCTACTTATGCTCCCTCACTCCATGGTACTGTAGTTATGTGCTGGTAAAGGAGAAAATGTCAGGTGTTTGAGTAAACTCTGATACACTTTAAAAAGTTGACATTGTAGTCATGAACCTGTAGTGGGAATTTAGGATGTGTTTGAAGGAGATTGAGCCACAGGACAGGTCTGTCCTCTCCCATTCCCACTTAAAATAAATACTTCAGGGAAGACAGTGCCCAGTCCATACACCTACAGAGACACTTTAATTTATAACGCAACATATATCAAGGGAAAGAGGCAAACAAAGAGAGTAGGGCCATAACACTAAGTCTTTTGTGGAACAGTAACAGTATGATTTACATATGAATTTTCAAGTACAAGTTATCTAAATTTCATCTCCTACTGTTAAATTTGTGGCATAAACAGCCAATGAAGCTACCAGCAATACAGCTGGTTTCCAATCTAAGAGGGTGGTAAACAGGCAAGGAAAGTTTTGGGGTACTAGCAAGCAATCAAAAAAAAGACCAAAAAGCCCACTAGGGAAAGTCAACCAAAATAAAATATCAAACAATATCCATGCTCCAACAGCAAAAGGGGCTTTCAATCTGCCTTTCCTCAATATGGAGATCTAGAGGACACCAGAGCCTGAACATACCAGCACTGAGACCAGGAGGAAGGCACAAACAAGAGGTGGCTTGGGAAAATGGGTAAAATGTTTCAAGCTTGAGAAAGAAATAGTTCATGAATGAGCCTAAGCCTCTTCTCTTTGAAGCAAGGGTGGAGATCTGGTGAAACAGCTTGAGGTTCATCCATGAACCCTCCTGGAGTGTTTTTATTACTGTACTTCTCTTGTGCACAGGTCTACCTGCTCACGGCTCAGTGCCAGACATTTCCCAGAGCACATGTTAATATCCACATAATTTAACTAAATCTAATTATATGCCTGGACACATCTGTAAGCTTAGCTTGTACTATGATATCAGTTAAAATATAGTGCTTATCCAAGTTAGATGCTGGCTATCAAAGACAAAAGAGCTGCAAGGTGTCAGAAAAACTGTAAAGTTGCCTTCCCATGAGGCAAGCAGGATGTGTGACAGGTCCTGTAAGCCAGTTCTCAGGAGATGCTAATAAATGCAGTTTGCAGTCAGAGAATGCCTATGAGAAAATAAAGGTTTATCTAAAAAGGCCATTAGGTCTTACAGTCAGACTTTTTGTGTGTCACAGACTCAGCACAACATACTCTGCTCCAGCCCCTGCTGGTTCCCACCACACTTTCTCAGCTTATTTCTTGATGTTTTCAGACTGAGAACTGACCACTTCCCTGACGCTGCCTTTGGAGGTTAATGACTCCTGCTGTTCAGACCCTTTGCCTTCTCACTCAGTGGGTTTTCTCTGATTTATGCTGCCAGTCACTGGTTCTTGTATGCCTTTCTAAAAGACACTAAGGAAAATGCCATAAAGAAACTCAAAAAGTGCTGCCATTGTAGCTGCTCTGCTGTTTGCCCGCACTGAATGGGGTTATCAGCCACAGAACAAAGTGATGCTGGGCTGGATTCTCCTCTCAAAATTACCTGCAAAGCCCATACACTCTACCTTGAGGACACAGAGAAGGTGAATCTTTTGTATTCACCAGAGACAAGAATTATGGACTCTTGTGCGCAACAGAAGCCTGTTTAACAATTTACCTTTAATCTTCAAATAGAAAGACAAGACTAGGGTTTTACCAGGTTCTGTATGAAAAACTCCCACTTTTTAAGACTCAAATGTCTGCCCTGTATTCACTTCACAGAAAAATTATGAAACTCACTAACAAAACAATCACAGACTGACATGGTTTCTTCAAAGATTTATTTTTAGAGCATGCTTTTCCTCAAAGCAAATCTTCTCACTGCCTTTGCCCTCAGGGCACATTACTTTTATTTGCTTTGCAATGTTGTCATTAAATATTGTGCACATTTTTTCCTCTGCATTTTTTTCATACTCTGAAATATTTTGACATTAAAATAACTTACTGAAATTAGTAAACTCCAAATGCAAGCAACTCTTAGCTCAACCTGAGCTGCTAATATTCTTCCCCCTTCATTAAAAAGCTCTCTTTCATGGGGCAGAAGTGGCATATTGTTAATATTACTAATAGTATACATTCAGGTATAGAGGGAGGGATGTCCATCAACTTAGTTGGCTCAGTGTAAACAAAACCTGGATCAAAACTTGGATCCACTTTAATAATAACACAGCTTGGATCCAGTCCAGCATTGCAACAGTCTAAAGTTTCCCCCCACCGTTCCCGTTTAAAGTCTGGGAAAGCATGTTTAAAAGCAGGTTTCATTTAACTTCAAGTTAATCATCCACAACCAGCCTAGCCAATTAGGAAGGCTTAGGGAGATTGGCCACAGTATCTTGAAAAGCAAAAGACACATTTATTTTACTTCTTGCACCTTTTTGATGTGGACAACGTGCTGAAAGCCAAAAGGAGTTTTAATCAATCCCCAGAAAGCTGTAAGGATCATCCGCCCAAGTTTATTCTGGCAGCCAAGGTGCAGACCTGCCAGGCATGAAATTGTTGGGAGATCCTACACACCACGACATGCGCCTCCCTCGAACAAGAGCCAGTTGGCTCCCATCTTCAATCTCTTTAATAACCTTAAAGCTCTTAATCTGGGATAGTATCTTGCTGAATAAACCAACGGAGGAAAAAAACCCCTGATTGTCAAAGATTCTGATAAATAAACCCAAGTCAGTGCTGGGGCAGGTTCTTTAGCATGCTAATTCCTGCTTATACCAGCTCTACCTGCAAATAAGGCTCTAAACAAACTATTTCTACTACAAGGGGAGGGTAATTATACTGACAAAGGCACCTCTGTGTCGGGTTGGGCAGAAGGAGCCGGCAGGTCTGGGAGACGCAGGCTTAGCCTAGTCTCCTGCAGTGAATGCACATTGTCTAGTGCAGGGGGAAAAATGCCAGACTGGGGGGACCTAGCAGCATTCAAGACAACAGTGGTGCACCTTGTCTGAGAGGGTTATTTAATGCTTCTGGCACCTGTACTTACAGCCACCCCCTCTTTTTCTCTTTTACAGGTTTAGAATTTATTTGGCATGTATAATTGTTATTTTGATCCTATAGCTACAAACAATAGGCAGCATGTCATTTCTTGATCATTTTGCATTCTTCTTGGGTTTTACTACAGACTTAACCCTTTGGAATCAGAGCCCTAACAGCACCCAACAGGTTTTGTAACTGTCTGTCAAATATTACCGGTGTTTGCTTTCAAGGGCTGCAATTTTTTTTCTACTGTAAAATGACATTGCCTTAAAAGCTACCATAGGTTTTTATTCACATAGATTTATACCAACCAAAATAAGAAACTGATTTAGAACATCAAGTTAGAGGAATAAAACACTGCTTTCAAATGCTCTATCAGCAATTTTGATTCAGTTTGCAGAAAAGAAATATAGCAGTTTTTAGCTGGAAGAGCATTTTTTTGGTTAATTTCAAAGGAAATTTCTGAAAAGCAGGTTCTCATATATGACAACACAGTCACAAATGTGTGTGTTCACAGGCAAGGTGGATGCAAATGAATGTAACTCAAAACTTTTATTACTCTGTTTTTCCTATGTTTATCATCCTGCTGTAAACTTTCAGCGTCAAAACTAGAAATACCTCAGCTGTTATCAAAGGAACCAGATGAGAGCTTGGTACACATCCTGTCACCTGAGATTACACTTTCCAGGTCAACACACCAGAAGCTCATTTTTTAAGTATTTGGAGGTGGGGGGAGGGGGGAAAGAGAAGATTTTGAAAGCTTTTCTGACCAGTTTGGGAAATGAAAACCATGTTGGCAATATCAGCCAAAGCACAGAGCCGAGCTTAATACCTTGTAGTATTTCTAAAAATAAACATTACCACAACCAACATATCCTTTCCTTGAAGAATCATTTACTACTGTATTGTTTAATGTCATCCTAGGATCCAGAATAACTTTGTTGTGTATAACTATGGAGTGGTACTGTCTATTATGCTGTAAAGTGCTATTCAGAATGATTATTTATAAGAAGAATAACATTTTATTAAAAATTTTATAGCAGGTATTACATAGATATGAATTTCTATGATGTTCAAAATAAGCAGGTATACTTACAGTGTTTATTTACATGAACACTTTAAAGATGTCTTTCAAAACCAATAGAATATAAATTCAACTGACTTTACAGGACTATATGCATGTTAATGCATTAAAACAGGCAGAAGACAGAAAATGTATTAGCTAATCTTGGACTATGACTTCAATATTCAACTGTGACCAGAAATGAACTAAAATCTATTAATAATATTGAAAACCAGAAACATATCCTTTCCTATTTCTGCCAACACAAATGACATTTTGCATTAGATTAAATGCTATTTTCCCTGACTATGTTGTCTCTATATTTTTAAGAACGGCTGTCATCTACAGAACATCTGAAGCTAAAGAATTTACTAGTTACAAGCTTCCATGCCCTGGTGCTTTCAGAA